CGGTGCGTGCCCCCCTGGCTCCCCCACGGGCTGGGGGCCCACCGGCCCGGCCACGCGCCACCACTCCACGCCCACGACCAGCCTGACCAAACAACATATCGCACATCATTAGAAAACACAGCCCACCCAAAAATTTTTGTTGCAGTATAAATAAATGGCAACTCCCTGCAACAGGGCTGCCCACAGTTATAAAAAATAACAGTTGCAAAATGTAGTCCAACCGTTATTTCAAGATTGAAGAATCCTAAATAAATTAATATTAGAATCCATTCCAGCCTACCAAAAAGAGCCAATGAAAATTGTTTACATACTGAAATGGATTATAAATATATACATCACATTATGAAAACTAACTTACTCCCCAGTCCATAACTGCACATTCCTGGAATCCAATTTAAATAATCTTGTTTGAACCAAAATTTCACATTTCAATAAATCATAAGTCTTGAAAAGCAATAACTGCTATTAAAAAAAAGATCATAAGACAAACTGAAGTCAATTAGAATCCAAGAACAAGCAATCCATGAAGTGGAAAGTTTTGAGTAGGCGGGAATTACAAGCACAAACCTGAATCCCACCGCTCATGCTGTAGTTTGGGGAGCCTGCTTCCATGAACCCAACTTCTTCTGCATCCTAAGTGCCCAAGAGTTAAGACACGTTGTGAATAAAAAACATGTTTCTCCTAAAATCTTCATCAATATAAATATCATATTGAAGTAAACAGCTACTTATAACAGCTTGACAAACAGCAGTTGAATGCCAACTGCTAACAAACTGAAAACAAGAACTACATCAATGATGAAATGAGGAGCAAAAATCAGTATTTTCCTTGCCCATCAAATACTACCAACATATACCAAGAACAAATTGCATCTCTGTACGTAAGTATCATTACTCGGAACTACAATTCAATTGTGTTTAACATTAAGCCCATACTTCAAAACCCTCAAGCACACTGTAATAATATGGTATGTGTTGCTGGCATTTGGCTAAAATCAAACTCTTATACTGTTTGTAACTTATTTAAGAGCACAGAGCAGGGTTATCCAAAACGAGCAATTTGCATATGGTTGGGATGGTTGGGTGAGGAAGCCAAAGCATCTACTTGCGCCCAGCTAAAAGCATTAAGCTTCTAAAAAGCGGCCACAGAAAGCAGGAAACACAGAAACTAAAGCCTGAAGCGAGAGAAATATCTTGTAGGAGAGTAGCCTTCAAATACTATTCAAATATCAAGTTTCCATGATTAAAGTAACTTTGACCTAACCTTTCCTCATAACATACTAAGAGCAAATAAAGAAGTTCAAACACCAAATACACCCTCGTATGGAAGTTCCACATTTCACAGTGGAAACTCAATAAAATTTCTGGTCTAACTAAAGCTGTCACCATACAATGTAAATAAATTCCACCCCAAGAACAAAAATGCAAATATAGTTCACTGTTATGATTAAACAATCCTGCCCCCACATTAAACACAAATCCATCAACAATTGTTTCCAACTGATGTTTGTAGTATGTTGGACATCTTTGTATGCAGTGTAGAAAAAAGTTTTATTTCCAAACAGTGAGGAAAAGTTAGTCGCTGATGTGATACAAGACTTGTGCTCAGCTGATGTCTCGGTTCCCTCCCCCATTTTTTGGATAACCCTGCAACTAGACAGCAAAAAAAAAAGAAGACATTATCATATCTGAGCCAATACAGGCACACACACATACCACGAGTACATTTCCTAGTAATTTTACGACACTTTTGAGCCACAAATTACCTTTTCCCGGCTAATTATCTGGAAAGAAAATTTTGATAGGCCTGTATCAATGGCTCAGATATGATAAGCTATTTGAAAGTGGCAACGCGCTCTGCAGAAACGGAATATTCTGTTAACCAATGTAATAAGTCAGTAACCATAAATGTCAGTTAGTATTGTCACAATGACCATGCAAAGGAAAAAATCCTTCATTAAAAGAAACAAATTGTAATTTCTTCACCATAACTAAATATGATTATCCTACGCAGTAACAGAATTAAGTATTACAATGCAGAGGTTCATCACGCACAGATGCCTGATCTCATCAAATCAAGCATTATTGTCTCAAAACTTTGCATGGCCATGACCTACATAGTAGAAACCATTTGGCTTAATTCGAATGGGACATCTAGTTCACGAGTAAGGTCTTCAATTTTTGCAAGTTGGGCTTCTGAACGCAGTGCCACAATCAAACAAGTAAACGTACGAATGAACGAAAAAGACGACTTGGAATTTTAATAAAGTCGATCGACCCACCGGCTGAGGCTGCCTGCCCCTCCCTCTGGCAGGTGGTGGAGGCGGCGGATAATCGAAATAGTAATCCTCGTAACGATAATAGTCATCGTAATATGGATCACTGTAGCCACCTCGATAATCCCCATACCCGTAATAGTCGTAATCATAATCTATAAAACACACAACAAACACCCAATTTTAGCAGCCACGAAATCCAATCAAAAACTATCTTTGTTTCGGAAATCGTTTGAATGGAAAACAAAAAGGCATGCCGGGAAAAGAGAAAAGTAAATTAAAAATTTCAGGCCAGAAAATAAACACTAGCTACGTGTATATAATTTTGTCTCTCAATGTACATCAATGTCACGACCAAAGAGACTTCCATAAAATACTATGCTTAATAAAATTACAAAAAGAATTAAACTATAACACAGTCAACGAAGTGTGTTCTACCACCACAATACACTACACCAATCTCAAACACAGAACAAGAGGAGGTGACAATAACACCAGTTAAGTTTAAAATACTACTTACCTTTCCAAAATGGCACAGTGCAATGAAACTTCCAAGTATAAATAACTTTCTAAACTTGTGAAATTTTGTAATACAAGTACAAGTGTCCCCAAACTAATTCATGTGCAGTTCAGATACAATGGTAGTTTCAATGCTCTCTCATGGGAAATAAAGACATCATTAATAACACATCACCTTAAAAATACAGTACAAATGAAAGCAGCAAAAACTTCATGATGCTAAAAAAATCTCCTACAAGGATTTCTGGTTTCCAATACACCATGCAAAATAAAGAACTTAAGAACTTTACTGAAAGAGTATCTCCTGCAGCATTAATAGTAAAGAATTGAATGCAACGTGCAGTAAATATTAAGGGACATATATAACACCCTGCAGAGTGAAATGCAAACTAATGATAAGTTCTTGCAAGTGCTTGGAATCTTTTATGCAAGCCATGAATTTGCAGAATTAAACTTTCTAAAACTTGTATGTAACAAAACAGCACGTATGTATTAATGTTATAAACTGAAAGAATACCTATCAAATCAAAGCAATAATTTAGTTCCAAGCAGCCCACAGGAAATAATCACTCATTAACATGCAAATAAACATCTGCAATACAGTAAATTCCTTCACTGTCCCTACAAAAACGTATAAAACTGTGTGACACATGAAAGAAACATTTCCAAAGTGATGTTACACATCACTTCAACATATATCTGAATAAACTTCCCAGTACAATTTCACATGTTCACTTCCAAATCAAGACACAGCTGTTTAATGTATGTACGTACTCCAGTAAATTACATTAATTTAATGTGACCCTGTAACAAGCAGAGTAATAATAAATAAAGGAATTTCTACATTAACCTGTTAACAGTTTCCACTATCACAAACTATAACAGTCAATGTGGAGCACAGAAGGCAAATTCTTCAAAAGAGGGTTAAAAGAGAATTCAATATAAATTATAAACGTAAGGGCGCAAAGAAAAAATACTAGTTCTCACTTTGAACACCTGCATCACAATGTATGGCCATGCTACCAGACATACCAGAGAGTTATATTTGAATTCATACCACTGTACTTGACAAAAATCTATAAAAAAATCAGTAAACTTGTACAGTGCTATGAAGACTGACTGACATCAGTATTAGAAAGATTGCATGCACAAAAATTTATTACATTTATTGTACAAAATGAATAATAGTTGCTTAGTGTCCAGTGACTGTCAAAATACTTCAGGATCCTATTCCTCAGGTCTTTCCCAGTCAGAAATATACATGAATGAGCCCAATTCTCAACAGCTATGGCACTATGGATAGAAATAAAAGATTTAAACGACAGAAGAATTACAGAGATGTACTTCCACCAATGGGCACACAACATTTCAGTCAACACATGATAGAGTACCCAAATAAATGAATACCAGACTGATGGACTGGTTGTCTGCAGAACTGGCTATTCCAGTCACTGGACCTTACTCTACTAAATTTCCACATATGGGATTACACAAGAAAACATGCTGTATGAACACAAAGTAAACTGAATAGGTAAATTGCAGCATCAAATCTTTGATGCTGCGAGATGCATGAATAACCACTGCGCCACACAAGGTTCAAATCATCTGGAATTCCAAGCATCAGCAGCTCCATAACCGGCAACATTTGAACCCACGTTCACAAAAACATTTTTGACTGGGAATGAATGACCTCAGGAATAAGATCATGAAGTACTGATAATTTTACTGGACACCTTGCATATTTCAGCTGTGTCCTTGTAGACACAATGTTTTCTGAAAGGAAGCATTTTGATGAGAAGTTAAAATTATGGGCCACCAAATAATACCCGATTATCTTGTCACATTCAATGATGAACAAAGTTCACACTGAGGTTCAGAAATGTTTACTACTGTTCCCTAACTTTAATGCTTTGCAATACATTACAGTCAGTGTGCACATGGAGAAAAAGAGAGCTGCTGTAATTATATGGAAAATTCTGAGAAGTTTCTAATATTTCACGCAAATTTCTCAAGCTTCAAGTGATGTTGCTCACCAACCATGTCTATAATTCTGAAATAACCTTATTATGTGAAGTATGCTAATCATCTTAAATACATTAACATGATCACCTGCATCAAACTTCACAAATCAACGGATTATGCAACACCATCACTTTCTACTGCTCACAAGAAAATAGGTAAAGGTCAAGGGGTTGCTGCCTCAATTCTGCATGATGCCATAAAGGCATACAGGAAGGGTTATGGGGACAAAATTCAATGCATATAAGTTTGCCCTAGGTGTAGTTCCATGCTCTGGGCATGTTACAGAGGTGAAAGGACCATCCACATACAGATAAGAACCTGGATGTGTCCACAGGCCTACCTGCATGTCCTGGCAACCCTCCCCAAAAATCCTGCTTGGAACCAGATTCTACCTCATCCAACACATTCCCAGTCACTTAAATTCAGCTATCCAAGTTCACTACAAATATCAATGCAAAAATTGAAGTATTGCTCTTCAATGAAGATAAACAGATAAATGAACACACTGCATGAAAACTTGGCAAGCCACCTAGGTACAACTGAACACAAAACTGCTTTAAAAAATAAAGCTGACAGTACAGATTATACAACTGCGACAATGAAAAATATTTGGCGGCGTTTCAAGACATTGCTGAATCTATTACAGTGAAACCTCGATGCATCGTTTTCGGCGGGGGTGGGAAATAAAAACGATGAATGCGGGAAAACGATAGATGCGGGAAAGCATTAAAAATTTAAAAAAAACAATGTTTCTCTTTCAAAGTTACTTCTTTTTACCAAAAAAGTCTTTAATGGACAACTGGTTTGTCGAAACTTTACGTTTTAGACCAAACAGAGCACTTTCCACGTTCAAAATGTTTTCCT